ACAACTTCAATTCTTATTAATAGTTTTTATTGTATATTTTTTATTATATATTACTTTTTGATTTCTATTCTTTGTTTCTTAGTTTGTATTTTCATTACTATTACTGATTGCTTATTTATATTACAATTTTGCATTATATTTGTACTTTTTAACAAAAACAATTACATTGTCTATACTCTATATATACATAACCAGAGGAATATATTGTTTCCGATAACATCATTCTTATTACAACTACTACATGTTGAGCGAGATTTGATAACTTAATGCTGCGATTATTGCACACTGAGCGAGATTATTGATAATTTTAATACTCCAATTGAGAGCGAATTTTAATTTTTATATATGTTCCATTTGTAATAATTTCACTGTTATTTTAACATTGATAATGGTCCAATGATGATCGAAACGTTTGATTTTGTTTTGTTGTTTATTGCCGGCAAATTAATGATTTATATATTTTATCTAAATGACATGTTTATTTGTTAACGTTTACAATTTTTAATTTTTAACGATTAATTATTAGGCTCTTTCTAGTAACTCTTTCTCTTTCTGCTCTTTTAAATTTATTGAGCCTTATTACAATTATATTTATATAAATACACTACGCGCAGAAATTAAAGCATCACCTCTCACATCTTCGAAAAGTGGGTAAACTTCAAAGGAGTGTAACTTCTACATAAATGGTCAAAATAAGATTTTAAAAAAAGCATTTTGTACCTTGAAATCTCCACTTTTCAAATCTGTATAATGAAATAACGATTCGGCTGATTTTTATGGAACTACATATATAATTATAAAGGAAGATCCGTAAAATCTAAAAATTTTTTGTAAACTTTGCACAGTTTCATGCTTTGAATGAGAAGTCGGGCACAAATACAATTACCGCACTAGAATAAATCTTACCGCCAATATGAATTCTTTCTTAAACAAAATACATTTCTTTGTAATTTTTATAATGTTTCTTTGTAATTTAATGTTTTAATTTTTATCATATATTGTGACTTCTCCGATGAGTTTTACTTTGATTGACGATTTAAGGATAATAAATTTGGCCTTTTAAATTGTTCTCAATTTTTCATATTATTTCACAGTTTGATCAAAATTTCAACATTCAGTCTACCAACTGTTTGGGAACAATTTCTGTCTATCGACGTACAATCCATCGTAGATTGCTAACTTAAATATTCATATCATGGTTTTTGTATTCACTCGTTTGTTTTACGACTACATATTTTGTGAATCTGAGGATGGCTCGATCAAGTAGCCGAAACATGTAATTATTAGACAATCGAGACATTATACCACCGAGATATTGTAAGAATTTATATCGAGTAATTATAATATATGTCTTTATTTTACTTTTAAGTTTTACTGATTATTGACTCTTATATGCCCTTTACTTAATTTTTATTTTTATTTAATGTAACATGTATTAAGTGAATATATTTATCAATTATTCACCAATTAATCACTAATTGTTGTATTAATTGTTAGATGAACGGAGTGTATAATCTACATTATTTATTACTTCTCAAATAATACAACAATAATATGTACACAAGAACTAACTAAACAATCTGAAGAAATAATGTTACACAAAACTGCGGAATTTTGCGTCTAACAGCCTGGTTTGCGTAATTATGGTTTATAGAATTTAAATACTAACACTAAGGATGACCCGATAAAGAGGTCGAAACGTTTGTTACAATAATCATATATTGAAAATTGTTCATTGGTTCGTAGTCCTTCTAAAATACTTTCTTTATATTAAATAATATCCTATATCCAGGGAATGGAAAGTTACTTTTTAAAAGTAACAAGTTACAGTTACTCGTTACCGAGTAGGAAAAGTAACAAGTTACCGTTACTAGTTACCGATTTTTAAAAGTAACTCGTTACAGTTACCGTTACTTGAGAAAGTAACGTTTCGTTACTTTTCCGTTACTTTTTTTTAAATCGACGACCAACAATCATAGCGGACGAG